AGCACTAGCCTTAAGCAAAAGAAACTCAGGGACAGTGCTTAGGCACAGGATTCAAGCCCCAGGATTCCCTACCTCCCACCTTATATACACAAACCAATTTCAACAAGTTTCATTGTTGTATTTCCATATAAGCATACAAGGTGTTTAGACCACATTCACTCTCATTCATCCTGTCCTCTCTACTCACCTTCTTCATTCCCACTAATTACGACCCCAACCTGCCAACATAGCCTGTTTTATTTTCTTGCCATTCATTTGTTAGTGCATATTAATGTACTGAGGGCTTTAACTATGGTATTTGGTACATATGTATATTCTATTTGAATTGGAATAACTCCTTCACATATCTACCCACTATTTTTTTAACATCTTTCAGCGTGTTTTTTTTTATGTTGTCTTCATACATAACTGCAATGTATTCTGGTATTATCCTCCCTCATTCTTTTTCCTTCTAGGTGTATGTGTGTGTTATACCAGTTCTGGGCTTGAACTCGGGGACCTGGGCACTATGTTTGAACTACTTTTGCTCAAGATTAGCATTCTACCACTGGAGCCACAGTGCCATTTCTGATTAATTGGAGATAAGAGTTTCACAGACTTTCCTGCCCGGGCTGACTTTGAACTGTGATCCTCAAATTTCAGCCTCCTGAGTAGCTAGGATTACAGGCATGAGCCACTGGTGCTTGGCTTTCCTGTGTTCTATATCTATATCTAGTTAGTGTAATATCTTTTCATTCACATGCCTACGCCAGAAAAAAAAATAGTCCTCTCCTTTACTCCATACATGTAAGCAAACTACAGATTTTATTTTTTAAACAGTTTCTTAAATGACCCCTCTTCTTTCAATGACAATAGATGAAGACTTCTTTTGAGATTGCTCCAATATCCTTCTTACTGATCTCCTTGCCTGACCTCACTCTCTCTATTCATGAGATTTTGACAGAGTAATTTTTTTCTAAAAACCAAATCTGTTACCACCTCCTAGTCAACATTCTTCAATAGAGAAATGTACTTATATGGTATACCGATCCCTTTATGGTCTGTTCATTCTTTTTTATTCTGCTCACTCACCATATATTTAATGAATATCTGTTGTTTCAAGTAGATACAACAGGAAACAAACAGACAATTATTTCACCTCTTGTCACTTACCACTTTATTTCAACACTTCCTCCCACCACTAGCAAGCTTTATCTTTAAAAACTAGTAAACTATTTGAAACAGGGTATCCTTTTCTTTCATAATAATTTCTACTCATTTTTTTTAAAAAAAATCTCAATTTAAACTCAAACTTCTCTTAAGACCTCCTTGCATCCTTCACAAATACTTTGTTTATATAGCTATCCTTCCCCTAGCCTATTTCTTGAGAACAAGGAGAATGTCTTTTGACAAAGTAGTCAAGTGCAAACTCTTCATTAAATGAAACAAGTAAACAAAATGACAGCTTTCTTTATTATTGTTCTTCTCAACTTTAGACAATGTACAATTATAGACAAAGTAAAAAAGTATGAGTATTCACAAGCAAATATTGCACAAGGTGATTTTTCAGAGCCTTATATGTGAGCCTTGGAGTATTTTGTCATCTCTCTAAAATTTATGTTGGCATTGGTTTACTTCATGAATAAAATTTTACCTTCTGTCCTGGGGCATTTTCCCATAATTGAAAATACAAAGTAGTAAATACTTCAAAATACACCCTATAACAGCAAACACATATTTTTATAGAAAAAGATACTCAATCGTTATAGAACTTGTTATCATAAAATAGAATAAAATGATGTGTCTTGTATATTACCGTGAATATTTTCAAACATCTAAACCCCATATAAAGTATTTATATATAAAATCAAATCTGACAATATTTTAAGAACCATATGAAGACATTCAGGGCTTTCACTAGCATACTGATTTTTGAGACAAGATACAATCCATTCATACTTATTGAGCATATGTGTAATTGTGAGTCAGGAAAACATTAGAAATGTGTTCCAAAAGCAAACATGAAAAGTTCAGATGTTGTAAACCAACTCTTTCCAATTAAACAGGTTGAAACACCAATAGAGATGTGAGGGGGTGGCCATCTGTCAGCATATAAAGGTCTTTGTGTTTGCATACAAAGACATTGCTCAACCCACATCTGGCTCACCCACTGAAATATAGGAGCATAAAGAATAAAGGGATGAATTTTTAAAAAGCTAGTTGTTTGTTTCATATGTGTGAGAGAATAAGGATAGAATTAATCTACTTTCCTACTTTCACTTATTTTTAAAAAGAAAACAGGAAAGTCAAGACAAGAAAACTTTAGTAGGACTAGGAGATAGAATTTGTATCTCATTGCATAATTTTAGGATCTGTACTAGAATTCTTCGGGTTTTTGTTTTTTTCTCCTGGCTAGTTCTTCTCATCTATTTCCTTGAATCGTAACTTACAAGGCACACATCATTTCCTTCCCTTTGGGGAAGCTTTCCCTTATTATTTCAGTTTATCTCTGTTCTTTTCCTACTTTTAACTACTCTAGTTATGCATTATCTATATATTTAGAAACTATTTTTGTTGTGTTTTTCTAGTTTGCATATATAATCTTATATAAATTATGTTTTGTGACAAGGACAAAAGTAAAATTGTTTTTACTCAAGCAGAAAGCAATATAAACCTATCACAAATGTATATCTATTATCAAAGGGCTAATAGCCTCATAGTCTAAAACATCTACTAAACTAAAACTGGGACCAGCCCCTACCAAGCAGATTTATTTACACAGTATGAACTACATCACTGCCAGGGTAAAGGTTTGATTACCAAAAGCTAACTAAACGAAATTCCTAGAGAGAGGTGGTCTGAACAGCAGGATAATCAAGAATCAGATACTAAAATAACAGGTAGTTAGTCAACATCAGAGTTTCTTGTAATAGCCTGTTTATTCAATATTTGAAATTTTGAGAATGGCTGTATCAGTATAGTAGATAGGAGTACACATTCTAGATCTAAACTGAAAATGTTTCAGTCTCAACTCTTTTACTTACTGGTTACCGCCTAGTATGTATTCTATTAATTTTAAATGTTTATTACAAAAATTAATATAGAGATATTCAAAGACAATTTTAGTTATTATTCTAAAATATATAGTGCTGAATTTTAAATTATATAGGTTTTTATGAAAATGGAAGAAAATAAGCAATTTTTATAATAAACAATTTATTCTGTAGCCTACCAATACAAAACAAATACCACAATTCCTATTCATACTCAAGTAGGTGACTTGAGTATGAGATACTTCTTTGTGAACTACTACTTCTATTCTTCACTTTAAAAAGTTTTGACTTCCAGGAAGTTATTGAACTATCAACCTCTTGCAATGTAAAAGATTTATGCACTATTTAATTCTCACAAAACTACTTCATAATAGATATATGAATCTGCTTTTACAGATGAAAACACTGAGATTCACAGAATTCAAATAGCTTAATCAAGTCATTAAGCTAGTTGGTATGTTATTAGTATCTTATCTTTTAAAATGATAGGAGTATGAAACTTCTGAATATAACTTGTATGGCATGTATTTAGAAGGTAGAGTGGAGGGAGTAATGGTAAATAATACTATAGTCTCTATCTCAAAGGACAGTGATTATCAACTTCCTCACTGTACATATTTTATAGTAGGGTGATAAAGAAACAAGACTTGTAACTGGAAAACCTAAATTCCTTTTCTGTCACGATCTATCTTTATGACCTAGTAACCTATATATAATAAGGCGTGGTGAGAATTAAGACAAATCACTATTTTTTTTGTTTTTTTTTTTTTGTTTTTTTGGGGGGTCCGGTCGTGGGGCCTGAACTCTGGGCCTGGGCACTGTCCCTCAGCTCTTCAGCTCAAGGCTAGCACGCTACCACTTCAGCCATAGCACCACTTCCGGCTTTTTTTTTTCTGCTTATGTGGTGCTGAGGAATCGAACCCAGGGCCTCATGCATGCAAGGCAAGCACTCTACCATTGAGCCAACTTCTCAGCCCCAAATTACTATTTTAAAATATGAAGCTTCACAAATGTTGATTTATTATTGTATTTGAAATTAGACTTTCCAATCAAGTTCATTTCTGCACTTTAAGAAGTATAAAATACAATATTATACAGTAATATAATATGATTTATAAAGCATCTAAAACAGATATTGAACATAAAACATTTTTTCTGCCAAGGAACTAAAAGTTCTTTTAAAAAGCTTCCTCATTTAAGTCAACAATATTCTCTTAAAATTAAAGCAAACAGGAATTGATTGAGTGATATACACTAGTCATTTTATATGCACTGAGAAGAAACCAAGTCAGGGAAAATAAATGACTAGCCTAAGGCACATAGCAACACACAAAGCAAGCAGTCTTGGATCCATATCCAGGTGACACCGGTTCTAAAGCTTATGTTCTTTCCATAACATTATCTCTTCAGCTTTGTGACATGGTCCCCCCAAAAAGCTAAGAGCCTCATATAAGGCCAAAGACTCATAACTCTCGGGTAGTAGAAAGAAAACTTTAGATTATATGACATAGTTACACTAGATTAAGTCACCTCCAAATAATACATTATTAAAAAGGTAATTTATTATGGTTTGGGCATAGAAAATATACTGGTAAACAGAGTAAATTCAGCCCATTTGCCACTAGTTTAAAAAGTTAATATAAAAAGACATTTCCATTGCAAATGCCTAAAAGTGAGCCTTTCCAGAAAGTAGATTCCTTCCTCAATCATTTTTTCCCATGAAATTTTGAAAACCATCACAAAGAAAAATCAGTGGCCCGCTCTTTAACAACTAAGTAAATTATCAGAATTTTTAACCCCAATATTAAATATATAAAGTGAGGGAATAAAAATATACAAAACATTTTACAGATGTTTTGACTCTCCCTATAGTTAAGCCAGTCTGGGCTTTTAAGTGCAGTAGCCTATTTATTTATTTCTCTCTTTACTAAAGGACAATGAACTTCACCTCCACCTTTTGCTGCTTACCTGTTGCAAAGGATGCTGAGGGCTCCATGGGGACTACAGTGACATGGCAGGCAGAGGCCAGAAGTGTGATTCAGGTAAAAGCCCTTTTCACAGGCTTCACAGTGAAGACCCTCATAACCTGATTTACACTCACACTGCCCTGTGGTCTGATTGCAGCGTTTCACATCCAGGCTTCCAACCCTTGAGCAGTTACACATATAATCTGAAAAGGAAGCAGGGAAAGAGATATTCTTAACCAAATGAAATGACTTTTTAAGAAACTGAACACTGTTTATTTTCCTTAATAAATATTTGTGACAAACTTGTAGGGCTAGATGAAACTGGCTCCAGTTCCAAGTTATTTTCTCTACTGTTTAGTTTATTTAAATTGGAAAATGTACATGATGCAATATACTTTTTTTTCTTTTTTCTGTCGATTGTGGGGCTTGAACTCTGGCCCTGGGCGCTGTCCCTCAGCTCTTCAGCTCAAGGTGAGCGCTCTACCACTTAAGTCATAGCGCCACTTCTGGCTTTTTCTGTTTATGTGGTGCTGAGAAATCGAACCCAGGGCCTCATGCATGCGAGGCAAGCACTCTATCACTGAGCCACCTTCCCAGCCCTACAATATATTAAATTATATACAGTCTGGGTTTTTTTTTGTTTGAATGTTTGTTTTTGTTGGTCATGGGGCTTGAACTCAGGGAGCTGTCCCTGAGTTTTTCTAATCAATAATAGCACTCTACCATTTTGAGTCACAGCTCTACTTCCAATTAATACTTCTGGTGGTTAACTGGAGATAAAAGTCTCCCAGACTTTCCTGTTCTGTCTGGCTTTGAACCGCGATCCTCAGATCTCAGCGTCCTGAGTAGCAAGAGTACATGTGTGAGCCACCAGTATGCACCTAGCTACAGTTTTTAATTATATAGCTACCCCACTCAGTTTCCTTTCCACTTTCATTGCCACCCTTCTTACCCTACAAATCCAGTATATATGTAAGTGTATGTAGTTATATTTATTAGTTTTTTTCTGAATTGGAAACCTCCACAGGCAGGCTTATCTACCTAGAACTGAGAAAACATGCTAAAAATAACAACATGTTAAATAATAAATAACCCATTGTATAACAGCAAAGGCCTAAGGCTCAGATGTCAACCTATACATGGTCATGCAGGATTGTTCCACAGCTAGAATCTTAAACTAAATGTCCCATCCAGGAAGGAATTAATAAAGAAATATTTCAAAATTTAAATGTTAGGAAATGGTAAACAAATCCAGAGAAGTTTATTCGTTCATCCTGATCAGACTAAAAACCAACCACAATTTGAGTATCTTGCTTATATCTGTAAAATATATAGAAAATAAATATTTTTTCTTTAGATATATTTCAAACAGCTCTTTGGATGAAAATAACTTAGAAGCCTAATTTAGTTTTTGCTAGTATTTCTACTCAACAAAAGGAAAAGATTTTGAACGCAGTTTAACAGAGCATACAGAAAGAGATGTAGTTAACATTGACTGCAGAAAAATAAAACCTTCTATATTCTATGAACAGGCTTCATTCCAAAATAGCAATGAATTTAGGTAGAAGAGCCCAACCAAATGTATGGTACAAATTAACTGATGGCGACTAGGTAAGGTACCAAATAAAATGGTATACTGATAAAATTTTACCTTGAAGAAAGTAACCTTTAATGTTATTTTTATTATTTCAAAAACATTACTGAATAACTGCAAGTCCATGATCTCAAGTAGAAAGTTTCATAAAGCAGTTTACTTCTCTATTCTAGAAAAAGGAATTAAGCTCCAAAATACCTTATGTAATCGCAAGCAGCATACCCACACAAGTTAAAACAAAGGAATCCACAAAGAAATTCCTTCTTGGCCAATTCTCCACTGCATTTTCTTCAGCTCCTCAGCTTTGGTGTCAGTTTACTGCCCTACTCTTCACATTTTTTTTTTCTTTTAATTCCTGTTTTGGGCTTGAACTCAGGGTCTGGGCACTGTCCCTAAGCTTTTATACTCTAGGCTAACACCTGAGCCACAGCTCCACTTCTGGTTTTTTGGGGTGATTAATTGGAGATAAGAGTCTCATGGACTTTTCTGCCCAGCCTGGTTTTGAAGCACAGTCCTCAGATCTCAGTCTCCTGGATAGCTAGGATTATAGGTGTGAGTATCTAGCTCTTCACACTTCTTTTAATTTGTAAATATAGAGAATGAGAGAGTCAGGGAAGGAGTGACATCACTGAAAAAGAAATGTACTCTTTACCTGACTTACAAAACTGTAACTAAATATAGAGCTAATATATTATATGTATTATATATATTATATAAAGCTAATATATATATACATATATAGTGAGTACGTATGTTGATAGATGATTTGTGTATGTGGGTTTTGGTGGTTTGGGTTTTTTTCCTTTTTTGCATATTTCAAACATTGGTACTAAGTCACAATTTTCAGCTCCAAGTTTAGGGAGTGAATCTGCTTCCCATCACAATCAAGTGCCTTATTTTGGGGCTGGCAATGTAGCAGTGGTAGAGTGTTTGCCTAGTAAGTGTAAGGCCCTGGAATCAATATGCAGTACTGCAAAAAAAAAATAAAATAAAACAAAACAAAGACTTTTACTTTTACTAAACTATGTAAACATGACACTTCTTTGACACTTACATGTTTTCATATGATATCTACCTTCTTGGCATGTGTGGTTAGTGGGTTCTGTATATAACAAAGCCATGTTGTGTGGTTTGTAAGCCTGCCAATGACAACTTCATGGCAAGAACTCGCTTCCACCAAGAATGACCAGAACGCTTATAATAACATTTATCTTGGGATATTTGGCAGAAATTCAACATACATCCAACTTTTTCTGCTGGATCAATTTCATCACAAATTAAACTAACTAAAATTATCCAACAGTGGACAGAACTCTTTCAATAAAAATGAGGACAAAAAAAGTCTGTAATAAAGACTGACTTTAATTCTATGATTTTCTTACTAATAAAATATTTCCATCTGAAAACTGAATCATTGTTTTCAATAAATAAGATATAGTTAGCAGTGTTTTATGGAATGTAATTAATGTAAGAACTCAGAGACAAAAATTATTCCCTATTTTTCAATACAAATCTAAGGGATAAACCTTCAGTTGTAACCAAGTTTACTGGTTACTTGTTATTTCTTTTTTTTTTTTTTGTCTGTCGTGGGGCTTGAACTCTGGGCTTGGGTGCTTATCCCTGCGCTCTTCAGCTCAAGGCAAGCACTCTACCAATCGAGCCACAGCACCACTTCCAGTTTTCTAGTGGTTTATTGGAGATTAGGAATCTCACGGACTTTCCTGCCCTGGCTGGCTTTTGGTAGGATTACAGGTGTGAGTCACTTGCACCCAGCTGGTTACTTGTTATTTCTATAAGGTAAACCCAGCATCTTCAAAATCCCCCTAAACATACTATGATTAGCCCTATTTCTGAACTGGTTGTCATTCTGTGCAATGTTCTGGAATGTTATCTCTCTTTCCCATATTCAGACATATCTCTTATTCCAAGTATAGGCTGAAGTGTACTCTATGAAATTCCCTTACTGTGTAACATAACCCTTACTACCTTTAACTCTCGTATGAAAATAATTAAAGCAAAACATCGTGGGCTGGGAAGGTGGCTCAGTGGTAGAGCGCTTGCCTTGCATGCCTGAGGCCCTGGGTTCAATTCCTCAGCACCACATAAACAAAAAAGAAAAAAAAAACATCGTATAAAACTAGTCAACTAAGGTTAAAAATTCTTACTACCTTAATATTCTTGGGCAAATTACCTAACTTCCTTATGCTTTCTTTGTCTCTTCTGTAAACATAGCTTAATAGTAGTACCTATAATACAGCTCCAAAAGTGAGATTTGGAAGTACTACACAAGGCAATACAACAACTAATAGAAGGTGGGAAGAAATGACAGATAAAATAACATAAACATAATTCAGATATTAGATTCATAACCCACAGATTTGCTGTATCCTATGGATGAATTGCAAAAGCCTAGAAATGGGTTGCCATAGCTTTTTTGGACAATGTCTAGAAAACACAATTTGTGATAAACCAGAATATCTAGAAAAGAGAACAGTGATGAACACAGAGAGGATAAAAAAATGAATGTGTTGATTATATATCCACAATACAAGTCATTCTAATAGTAGCAGGATGAATGGCAAAGTATTTCAACAATAGTAACAACAAGCCTAGTGGTAGGAAGGCAACAGACATATCAAGACAAAGATGCTAATTCTTCTCCTCAAAATTATGAAAGTAAAGGAAATGAGAACAAAGTACATCAAGGGTCAACAAGCATGTACAATCTTTTGTTTGCAGCTCAGAACCCAAAGATCTATCCCAGTGATCAACCTCTAATGAAATAACTCAAGTTAAATGAAGTATGAGCAACTGTAATAACTGTGTAACATGGGGCTGGGAAGGTGGCTCAGTGGTAGAGCACTTGCCTTGCATGCCTGAGGCCCTGGGTTCAATTCCTCAGCACCACATAAGGAAAAAGAAAAAAGCCGGAAGTGGCACCATGGCTCAAGTGGTAGAGCGCTAGCCCTGAGCTGAAGAGCTGAGGGACAGCACCCAGGCCCAGAGTTCAGGCCCCACAACCGGACCCTAAATAAATAAATGTATGACATTATGAGCACTCATTAAAGACATCAAGACAAGTTGTTAGCTTTTAAGTAGAGTATAATTTCAGACCCTTTACAGTTCTAGACATTGGTTTAGAACTGGACAAGTGTTAATGTAGAAATACTACAATTTTCTTAATAATTGACAATATGTAAAAAAGAAAAAGAAAGGAAATCTCAATTGATAGAAGCAATCGGGAAGATCTATAGCCAAAGACAACAGAAGAAGGGCAGACTTTTAATGAGGTAGACTCAAAGACACACAGAGCAACATAAAGGAGTCTGTGACATGATCAATGCTAAGTCAACAGGGAAACGATTAATAGGGATGAAATAACATGAAGAAGATACAAAAGTTAACTGTAGATAGTATGTTTGAAATGTCAAAAAGCTTATTCAATTGTATAAGAGTAAATATGGAATAAACTTTTTCAATGAGTAGCAGATTATCTTCCAAAGCCCTATCATTTTTGGAAAAATTCATAGAGAAGAAAAATTACATGAGAGTAATACAAATGGTCATAAAGAAAACACGTCTTGGGGCTGGGAAGGTGGCTCAGTGGTA